TATTCTTATCTAATGCTTAAACAATACAGTTTAAGAATATTAGGAATGGCTATAAACAGGCACATTTTAGGGTCTATATTTTACTTCCAACAATAAATAGAGCTATGATAAAGTACAATTCCCTTAACACAAAATTTCCATTAATCATAGGATTTTATCAATACAAAGCTAATCACTTTATACAAAGTTTCACTACACCTAATCAAATGTAATAATTTACATATTCTGAAACATTTTTTCAATATATTGCAAATTCCAAAACATCTGAAATGTCTTATATTTTGAAATGTTTCCTTTTAATATCCTAAAGCTGGAACAAAATCATTCTGCTCTTTAACTGGAAAAAAAATCAGATTTGTAAAGAACAAACTGCATATATTCTTGCAAATTCTGCATCTCTCATGTTATTCTACATCATTGACCACTGCAGAGGTATGAAAATGTGAATTCTTGTGCCTACGGATAGTCTTTTAACTTTTTTTCATGTTTTTAATACTTTGGTGATTATTACCACATCCTAGGATGCACCATGTATAAAAATATATTTTAATATTCTACCTTAAGAGTTAGTTTAATCTTCATCACTGCTCCAGGTATCTTGAGTCACCTTCTAGTCTTTCTTACTTCCACCTGTACTTCTCACTCTCCTTCTCTCTGTTCCTCTTTCCTCCACCGCTACTTCTTCCACTATTTCTTCCTCTGCCACTTCCTCCTCATCCTCCTCTTCCTCTTCCTCCTCCTCTTCAGGTAAATCACTAGTCAACAACCTCTTGGGTGTCCACGTTATGAAATTACGATCAGTGCCAAAGCTATATAGGTCCATAGAGGAGGGGTTGTACACTGCCCCTAACACCGTGGAGAAATGCCCCCTGAGAACATTGACCATCTTCCCTGAGAAGATCTCATACACCAAAATCTTGCTCTCAGAAGGAATGAACACCAGGTCAGGATAGGTATTGGTAGTTACAGACATGCGCAGTGGCCGCTTGAGCTCTGTGTAGGTCTCACCATAGTCCACCATCATGTTCTCACCACTGGCTGAGTTCCACAGACGTAAGTCGTTGTCATAGCTGAAGGAGAGCAACCATAGGCCATCTGTGGTGAAGCAAAGGGAGGTGACACGGTTCTTGTGAGCCACAGGGGTCCTCTTGGCTCGCTTCTTCCTATGGGGTGTCTCGGTGCGGTTCTCCATATCTAGGTCCATGAGGTGGGCCCTCCCTGCTCGCACATCCCACAACTTGATGGTTTGGTCCCTTCCACCTGATGCTAGAATATACTGATTGCTGGGTGACCACTGAATCACATTCACTGGCCCAATGTGCCCAAGTAGGCGGTGAGCTGATGAACCACTGCGCATGTCACAAAGGATCACTTCACCTAAGAACAATGATGTTTTTGTTTTTAATTTGAAAAAAAAGGTTAAATTATATTGTCTTTCAAAACTGAAAGCATGTCATCATCAACAGATTGTTATGTTCTTGCAATTATTATGATCATTTTCATCATTATCATTATTATTGCTATTACCATAGTAATTATCATTATCATTTTTATTATAACCATTACTATAAGTATTATCATAATTGCTATTATCAATCTTCTCATTACTTTCTGATTTAATGAGATCTAGTGCAAATGTAAAAGCAACCAGGTATTATAGCTTAATCCCAGATATCAACTGAAATGACTCTGTGCACAATGGTTACAAAGTACATCCAAAATCCAGGAAGAAGAAAAAAATGAAGTAGAACCCACCCAGCAACTCCTTAAGCTCTAAAGCTTGAGCTGCCTCAATCAAGCATACTGTATTTACACAAAAAGCTTGAGCTTGAGTGGTTTGTGATGAATGGCTGAATGCAACATGTTTGAATTATTGTATTTAAAATCATCATCACCAGCTCGTCAATTTTCAAGTAATTAGGCTATTCTCACCACCCTATCAACCCACCATCAATCATCACTATCCTTTACCTAGAAAGAAATAGAACAAGAAAAAGAAAAAGAAAAAGAAAAAAAGGAAAAGAGAAGAGAGAGAGCATATGTTTGGTAATGTTGGACACCATTCTCCTAGCCTCAAGGCTGCAGAGAGCTAATCCACCCCTATATCTATGCCTCACTAGTCCTTTTCCTATGTGTCTCGGTGGCTTCTCCTCCTGCCTGATCTTCCCTCGGCACCCATACCGAGCCATCAGAGACCAGAAGGACTAATGAATCATCAACAGCATAGGCAGCAGAGACCATTGTTTTATGTTACCTTACTATTGTGCTGTACCTGATAGTCAATAAATAATTACATTATATGACACTTGATCGAAAAGTGGTCATTGCAAGAATCAGCACAAAAATCTGACCTACATAATTGTATACAAAGCACAGTAACTGTAAAATGCTAATTAAGTCTTACTAAAGTGTCATTTGATGTAATTCTGTGCTGACTGCCAGCTACAACACAGCAGTCAAAGTTTTTGGCAATATCACAAAAAAGTGTTACTAGGTGTGGAGGACTCCTACAAGGGACTAGGTTACCTATGCTGCTGATATTTCTTTCGTCCCCAACAGTACCATAAAACCAAACTTGCATAAATTTTACACATATTTCCTATTCACTTCTCAACTTTATCAGCACAAAACTCACACCCAACTTCTGAAACAAACAAAAAAAAAGGGTAATTTTCCCCTAACTAAATGTCACACTATCACTTACCTGTATCAGCTCCAACAGAGAGAAGTGAATGTTTTGTTGCAACAGGTGACATGTGGTGGTGCAAGACATGACATTCTAAACGAAACTGGTCTACCGGCTTCATGCAATTGGGGTCCCATATTTTCACTTTCTTGTCTCTGCTGGAGGTTGTGAAGAGTCCTGTATCTGCTGGGTACCACTGGACACAGTCAACCTGATGGAGACCCAGGACTTGGGTTAAACTGGCTATAAATGCTCTGGTTCAAGTATTCATGGGCCCTGAGATCTATCATGTTTTAATATCTTTAATACACCTTACCAAGAGCAATGCATATCATTTAATTTATTTATCTTTTTTATGCTTGCTATTTTTGCATGTATATATTTTTGTATGTTTATCTGAATCCCCTTGCTCTAAGCAACTATACTTTCACTGTAAACAAGCAATACATAGGTAGCAGCTTGCAGGAGAAGGAGGGAGAAGTAACATTGGGTTTCTGGCAGTTCATCCTGCCTCCTGGAGCTGACTGGACCTAGGCAAGTTTCTGTACCTTTTTTATGTGCCTATGCTTGTGATTTATTTAATGATTAATTATCTATTTTTCTGAATCTAACAATAAACGCACTTAATGTTGAGCTAATTTTTTTATCCAATGTCGACGGGAAGATGGTGCATTCCCTTTGATAATGCTTGGTTAAATGTTTCTGCACATAGATGGCTCTGCCAATGCTTAGCCAAAAAGGAGACAATTAGTAGATCTTGTGACCTCACTATTCCTTGAAAAAGTGGGAAAATGCCTTTTTTTTACTAATGGTATCAATATTGACTCTGTTATTTTTGTTATCAACATTATAATTACTATATTATTACTGAAATTACTAACAGCAGTATCAAGTATTAGAAAATATCATCGAAAATCAAGGAAAAGGGTAAACAGATAAGACAGGTAGTTCATGTAACTGGCATATTGGTGACAGTACTTGTGCAGCAATCTATATGTAAAAACAATTACTAAATTCAACACACTCAATGGGAAATGACATGTATGTACATGCCATTCCCGGCGGCTTGGGGTTAATTAACCTTCGTGCCTATCATACTCTTGCATCAAAGCAGGGGTGGTTTCCTACAATATAAATGTTATGGAAAATATATGTATTTTCAATCATAATCATCATTGGGGAGCTAATGCCAACAGGGGTACAGAGCTGCATCCACCCTTCATTTCCACCTACAAGGATCCCTCATGGCAAGCCACCAGGCAGGGCCTCAGCCTATCTCTAGCTCCTCACACCAGCGTTGATCAGCTGATCAATCTGTCCAAGTCACGACTTCCTATGTTATTCTTCTGGCCTCTTCCACCTAGAGTTGTTTCAAATAGAAACAACCTGGTGGCCAGGTCTGACCTGTTGGAAGCAAGCCAGGTGCGTGTATAGCCTGAGCTGGCTGTCCAGATTGTGCAATTAACAGGTCCTGTAGCAGTATCACAGTGTAACCGTCGGTTGGACATGTGGTTCTAACTTGATATTGCATTAAATCAAGTTCATAGTCTAACTACTCCAGCCTTACTGTTCTTCATTTCTTCCTAGCTTTTCAGACAGTCATTCCTACTCCTCTACAGGCTTACAAGTACAAGTCCCCTGTTTTCTAACCATAAGTCTTTGTAGTCTCAAAAACAAGAGCTCATTTCTCTCCCAACTCACATCCACCTGCGACATGGTTGACTCTTGGCATACTGACCTCAGAATTCCTCCTCCTCCTTTCCCCATGGCTGTTTTTTGTAAAGACAGACCATTTTGGTAAACTAGACCAGATCTCAACTCAGACTCTGAAAACACCTGGATTCAAATTCAAGCATGAAACTACAAATCTATCCTTATCTCTGAATCTGGACTAATCCAACCAGACAATCTCAACCCCTGTGATAACTCTAACTTCCTTCAACCTCATCTCTGTCATCTCTCACACAAACAGAAAGTAACTCCAAGACACTTTCAAAGAAATCATTAATGCATATTCATTCTCACAATATTTCCCCAATCAACCTGAACACAAACCCAATGGTGATACTAGTCCTCCTTTCATTACATCAAATACACCAAACTTATTTCTCACTAACAAAATTCTCCATTTGATAATCACTCAAGTCATCCAAGGACTTAAGACCATGACATAGGGCCTAATACTAGCAGATACTGACATGGAACCAACAAGACTTGTAGACTCTCCAATATTTCTCTACTCTATGAGCTGTGAATAACATAATTAGATAAAATTAGACTCATTACAGCAGTCCAGAACATTCTCACAGAAGGC